TTTCATGACGACTTCTGTTTGAGGATGTTGTCTTTGGATTTTGATATGATAGGCTTGATGTGGGTCGAGCCTTACTATCTGGTCATTGTGGATGCGGATGAAAAGGTGCATCTCATCGATATCATGCAGGGAGAAGTAGCTGTGGAAGACGCTTCTGCAATTCAATTGGCATACGGCACCGCTGATTTTAAGGTTTTTTTTTTCGACTTTTTATCAGAAACTGACTTCCTGCAGTTTGGAGGGATTTCGCTTTCTCAGTGAAATAATCATAGCACTAATTATAATAGCGTTCAAAGAACAAATGTGATGGGGAGAAAAAAAAACTGTTAAATTCTGGGATGATGCTCACCGTGCTAGTTGTATCTGTGACAAAGGTCTATGTTAATGTAGATTTTATATAAAATTTGTACATGTGAAGAAGCCAGCAATGCTAATGGCACTGGAATGCCGGTCTGGATCTGCAGATACTCACGAAACTAGTACAAATAAGAAAGAATCTAACAACTTTAAAGCGGAAATCTTACGATTATGAGTGTGAAAAAATGCTAAAGTTATATGTGAAGAAGAGTCCGCAAAGCAAAGGCACATTTTCGTTATTTACAAAAATATCCATGCATTTTTAACCAGCTGCATATGTATATCATTGTAAATGTGTGAAGTAAAAAAAAAGAACCCCTTTTACCTCCTTTCCTTACTTCGTTTTCACTCTTTGAGAGGCGGGGACATAAAGGGAGTAACCGGAATGATGGCAGCTTTCATGAGCTTTGCATAGTTCGTTCTGTGTTTACAGCTAAGGGATGAAATACAGACTGCATTGTAAGATATCACCTTACACATGACGCTTGAGTACAATCGTTCTGGTCTCTTATTCCACCCGCTGACAAGATTTGCGGTTGTTTCTTTTTTAAGAGTTTCTTAGAAGCAAACTGATGACGGGCTTAACTTTCTGGCACGTATCAGTACCAATTTACCATCGAAATGAAAAAATTTATCGTAGAGGAATTGGTCTTCGGTCTACTAAAGCTAAATCCTTGGCTGTTGTGTACGACAGCAGTGCTACTCCCACTTTCCCGCCAACTCAAATGAATAAAGGCTCTCAAAATTAATGCATGTGAGGAAACCGACAATGTCCAGTACTAGCTGTTTGTGCCATTTTGTGATAAATTGCATTGATGTTGATTTTAGGGTTTATCAACTGGAGGTAATGTTAGCGCTGCGCTGGATTATTTAGCAAATTCAGTGTGCTATCAGTCGTACTGTCGAGTTGGGCCCATAGCCTATCTGTTGGGTCAGTCGGCTGTGTATGAAATCACCGTAAGCGACCAAATCGCGCAGCTTGAAAATTTTATTAATCGGTTATTTTTGTTTTTTTTTTTTTTATTTTTTGTATTTTTCATGAACACACAAATAAATAATCATGTTTTATTGAAAATTGCCTAAAATACTTTATCGCAGATTTATTTATACTGACGTTTAATGAGATGAACAGCTTTCGGGAAATCATTACGGGTAATCTCCTAATGAATACTATTTGTTATCCGCTTTGGTGACTGGTGGTTCTGTATTTGCGAGTGTGATCAGCCGGATGTCCTATAGAGCATTAGGGCGCATAAATTCCCTGCAAGGCAACTAAAAACGAAGGGACTCATCATGGCTGCACCCTGATTGTTGGAGTTCCTTAATAGTTCTGAAAGTCAAAGCGACCCTGATAATCTTAAGAATAAGCTTTATACTGACCTGGACGAATTAGAAGTCTTCGTTTTCACACTGAATGTACATGCTTACAGGGGCGAAGTAGTGTCTGCTGTTCTCTTTGCACTGGATATATTTGTGGGGAAAATTGGTTGTCGA